TGTTCATACCAGAGTTGCGTTGATGACGATGATATATTAATTAACTGAAGAGCGGGGGAGAGGTAAATTGCTCTATTCTTGTGTTTCGTCGAAGAATATCCAAAACATACTTTTTGAGAATTTTAGAACATTTTCGGTGAATTTCGCATTAAAATCGATAGTTCGATAAAATAGGGCTAAAGTCAGTAGACTTTCACGGGTATTACGTATCTTGAAAGGTAACATTTCGTTTCGTCGGTTTTTTTTACATTTCATAGGTTTTTTTTGTGACATAACGTAGGTTTTTTTACAGTATGTTAACTTAGCACAAGCTGTTGTACACTTGTTGTGAACTCGTTTTGTATCTGTACGTGTTACTTAAACGTCAGGGAACAGAGATCATAGCGAACAAACGTGGAATGAACTATTTGCACACTAAAAGCTACCTAGTCTGCAAGATGACATTTTATCTTTTATCCTTTTTTTCTTCTGACGGTTTTTGGGTTTTTTACATAATAGCCCTGCCGCTCAGGTTCTCGACACATGCTTTAAAAAGATTTCTGTCTCACTTGATTGTTGGTTATTTTGTATATTTTCTGAGGATCGGCAAATTTTGGATCAAGATTTTTCAGACCTTTAGTTGCAAATTTATAGAAATGCACCGAATTTTCATGTAGCACTTAATTCTGAGTTCAAGATACATGTTCCGTGGTTGTGAGATGGAATTCTCATTTGTCCGTTCCTTTTGATACCTGAGAGAAATCACTGTTCCCACTTGTGCGGTGAGTCACTCAGTTGTTATTGTCATCCACCGATTAGTATGAATAAAATGTCCCATCACTATCCTGGTCGTACTCATTGTTATGTGTTCTGTGGTCCTGACAACACAGCACCACATAACGTCCCCGAAGTTAGCTTCTGAATCAGATTCGAATATTATGAAATTACTGTCTACCAGTTTAGTAGTGAGCTCAAATCGACAAGACCCAATATGAGTACATCTTCACGGCATAGCTGTGCGAAAAATCAGGGGACTACAGGGTGATTCTGTTCATACAAGGCTTGACTCCTCAAAACAGAAAAAAATCGCAGACCCTAAACGAAGAATTGTGCCACCAACAAACTCATATATGTAGTAAAGACCCCATATGAGTAAAAATTCACGGTTTACCTTTGCGAAAAATTATGGGACTATAGGATGATTCTATGCATAAGGGGTGACTCCTGTTTTGAGCAGTCAATCCTTGAATGAACAGGGTCATCCTGTAGTCCCCTGATTTTTCGGGAAGTTATGCCTTTAAGATGTACTCCTGAGAGGTCTCTACAACATTATGAGTTTGTTGGTGGCACAATTCTTCGTTTGGGTTCTCCGTTTTTTTTCTATTTTAAGGAGTCAAGCCTTATATAAACAGATTCACCCCGTAGTCCCCTGATTTTTCGCAAAGCTATGCCGTAAAGGTGTACTCCTATTGGGCGCGTATATGAGTTTGTTGGTGGCACAATTCTTCGTTTGGGTTCTGCGATTTTTTTAGTTTTATATGTACCTACTCATTCGTTCGTGTCGCCTATCGAAATCACCCTGTATACCCTATAATAAATAGGTATGTGGTATTTACAGCAGTAGCACAGTTTAGATCACAACCAGCTATGAAACTGTCCTGTCAGTATCAAAAACGGTCGCCATTTGGGCGGAGAAAGTCGAATGTAAATTCCCCCAGTACAATGATGAAAGAGGTTTTACTGCTCAGCAGCAGCCGGTGTTGTCTCGTGGTCACAGATATTATTTGCAATCTTGAAATGATTTTATTTCGATATGCTATAGTGAACCGGCTACTGCTAAAAACTTGTTCGTCGTAATGGGGGAAATTACATCATCTGGGACCAAATTATAAAGCTGATACAGAAATAACTGAAGATAATTTCAGAAAAAAACAGTAGTCTCAAAAGTAGCGATTTCCCACAATTCTTAAAAAGGACAATAACTCACAAACCGTGCATAATCGAATAAGGACATGCCATATTGTATTTCTGATTGGAAATGCCCCCCTACATCTCGTTTGATCCATGCCTTGTAAGACACCCTGTAGTTTACGTCACAGCTTTGGCAAGAAAGTGAAGTAAAGTCACTAAAAATAAACTTTTTAGAGACAAATGGCTGGTGTTATATCAAAATAAAAGATTTGGAAAATAGTGATAGTCAAAAGTGCTCTGATTGGTCAAACCGTCTTCAGACGTAGAAGGCGGTGGAACTCATATGAATCATGAAACGTACGTTATGTATATTATTAGATAGAACCTTATAACCTTATTTGAGAAAAGTAATACAAACTTAATTTTCACCCAACTTCAGGGTTCATATCATGGAAACGTTGCTACTTAGCGTGATTTATCCCTACATTATTTTTTGTGTGTGTTTGATATCTCTAATCAGAACACAATTTATTGCAGACCTGCATATAAAAAATAACGTTACATTTACCAGATTACCTTTTAAGATTTCAATTTTTTTCTTGCGTAAGTTCATCTTGTACAGTTTAAGCATCTATCTTGTACAGTTTCATGCTTCCAAAACACAGTACTAGGCGATTCATTTCTGCTGGTCGGAGTCCATATCACCGAGGACCTGATGTGGCACGAACACATCTCGTGAATAGCGGCAGCTGCTGGAAAAAAGCTTGGCTATTTGCTTAGGACTAAGAAGTACTTCTCACTCGAGCCTCGAATATTGCTCACACGTTTGGGGTGCTGCCGCCGGACTACATTATTTAGGCTTGGTGCTGTCCAGAGGAGGGCTGGCTCTTCTCTAACAGGCAGTCTCGGGAGTCTTTCGTACCGGCGGGCTGTTGGCGATCTAGCTCTCTTCTACCGTTACACCAACGGGCTTTGCTCCTCAGAGCTCTCTTCCAAGATTCCGCCGCGCGATGTGCCTGCCAGACAGGCCCGCCTGACTTTGGCCTCCCACCGCAACTGTGTCGAACTTCGTACATCCATAACTGGCCGATACGACCGCTCCTTTGTCCCGAGGACATGGAGATTGTGAAAAAATCTACAAGAGGAAGCTTTTCCCCGTTCTACTAACCTTAGATAGTTCAAAAATCGGATTAACCAAATTTATTTGGGATCCTTATAGCAGCCGCAGTGTCCCGGCATTAAGGCTTCTTTCTGCCGGCGCGGCTGCTTCGGTATAAAAAAAAGTTCCTTAAGACTTAGAAGTAAGGTATTAACAGTTTCAAAATCTCGGAAGTGTAGGATTCTTTGATAAAAGCTAGCTGGTCATCAAATAATAATGATAATAATTAATGTCTCTTTTATTTGTAATAATATTACAGGAGACGAAATTTAGATACTATATCTACTCTACCACCTAACCCCCTTAACAGTACAAGATGTATAAAAACTGAAAATTTGAAAATCAATGCAAAGGCCTCAAGAAAACTTAACACAAGTTTCGCTGCTGATCAAGTACAATTTCTTTCACTTTTTTCTTGAATTGGGTAATGAATTAGTTTCTTCTACACTTCGGTCTAAGGAATTATATAATTTGATCGCATTGTAAATATATATATGACTTCTGCTGTGGCGTGGAATTGAAAAAGTCACTCTATATCTAATATTAATGCCATGAACCCTACGAGTCAGACTTAGGAGCTGGTATTTTATGAATATTCATCCAGTTGAGGACATTAATGGCATTCGATATATGATCATATTTTCTGAGATCATTAACAAGTCTGCAACATGTATTCAGAGTACTTTGAATACGATTTTCTATTATAATATCTAAATAGGGATGGTAAACCACCAAACCGGACGATATTTTTTAAAACAAGAAAGATTCACACAATTGTGTTGAATAACGTAGCACTGGGAAATTAGATGGTTTACGTATCCAACAAATTTTAAGTCAACATCCAACATAGGTTTTAAGTATGTAACATGTTTTTTTATAAGTTGGACAATGTGAGTCATTAGTAGAATGCCTAGTATCAAAGTGATTCTTAAATTTAGAATTCCGATCCACACAGTTTAAAAGTCGATTTACATTTTTTTCTAAATGTTGTACATCACATAAAGGACATGATCCTTTAGAATTTTTGTAATTTTTTCCATATGGCCAAATCCTGAACATTTATAGCGGCGTATAATTAGTACATAGTCCCGCACAGAGCATCGTTGCCAACCCATATTTATATAATCTAGCAACATTTTTCTAAATTTTGGTTTAACTTCTATGACGACATTTAAAGTAGATTCAGAATTCAGAACATCTGAAAGTGGTTACGGCTTTTATATCATCACTACTGAAAATACCAAATTCATTCTGTCATAAGATCTTGATTTAACTCTCAGATTTTGTGTAGGCGCTTTCTACATTATTTATCACCATGCGTGGGCGATACTTTTTGATATCATTGACAGTGAAGTTTGCACCGAGTTCTCCCTGTACACTGGCCTTCAGCTTGGATAAAGATATTTCATTTTCGTACCTAAGAATGACCACACTATTCAACCTCTTCACAGAGTGTATACAGATACTTGACTTAGCTGGATCAATCCTCTTCTTCAAACCCTCAAACACACTAGGGTTTGATTTGTCTGTACTTTTTATCATCAACTTCTGTGTATTATTAATTTTCTCTGCAATCTTCTTATCTCTGCTATTTTTTTACTCTTTTGCAGCGTAACTATATGATTTGATTACAGCATTACAGTCTGTTCTTTTTAACTAATTGATTGATATACCTCTCTTTATCCAAAATTATTTCATTCTCTGTTTCTAATCGTTTCATTAGGTACTGAACTTCTTGCCCTATCGTAACATTTTCATTATTCTTGTATGAATAATTTTTATGTTTATGTTCTTGTTGCTCTTCTTCGTCCTACCTTTTTCGTCAAGTCATATCGGATAAACACCCAGAGTTAAGAGTTGGTATATCTGGACAGAAATTTGAAGATTGGTGGCACTGTTGCCCAAATATTTTCTCCAATGAGCTCTACTATATTCGTCTGTTTTGTTCTAGATAAATTTTGCCATGATGGGTGTCCAAGCAATGCATCCTCCGTCTACAGGCCCACCCGCAGCCGTACCACCTGGATCCAAAAGGAAAATTACCGAGATTACCTGTCCATCAGGACCACCAGAAGCCAAAACCGCCCGATGGGACACCCCTGACCACCAAACTATGCTTTGGGATACGTTAGAAGCAAATAATAAAAACTGGGATAGCTTAGAAGCAAAGAATAAGTCCTGGGACAAATCTGACACGAGTACGATTAGACGTGAAGCTAGCGGTACTGAGCGTTGTCGCAAGAATGGCTCCAGAGATTTTTCAGAAGCTAAAAGTAAGCCCAGGGATATTTCGAAGAACAATAACAAAAATGAAGAATGTAGATTAACCAACAGTTCATCGCTAGAAAATGACAGCAACCGGTTGAATGGTTGCCTTGAACGCTTACAACCGTCGCAAGAGGAAGTTAAGAACAATTCTAACTCTCTCGATTCTGATAACAACGCTTGGGATAGGTTCAAACCCCCAACTGATGATAGAAACGTTTCTGCTATTAATCGATTGAATGGGTCTAAAAATCCGTTACAGCGGAACAGTAAAAACTGGGGGAGTCTGAAACTGTCTCAAGATGAAGAAAACGTGAGATGGGAAAGGCGAAAAAGTTGCAAGTTAGAAGCCATGAACCAAAAGTGTAATAACTTGAAATCATCTGACGATAGTCGAAATTTTGGACAAGAAGGAAATAGTGATACATCGATTAAACTCGTCACCTCAGCGATCACATATACGACAGAAAACTGCTGCGTTGCGAATAAAGATGAAGACGCAGTTTTGACTCAAGATGCAAAGGATGTTACATGGGATACAACGAATAAAATGTGGGATAGCGATTGTTTGATCCAAGATACTAAATATGTGCTATTAAGTGACTGCGAAAGCCAGAATGAGAACTGGGACGTCTCTGAAACGAATAGCAAACAATGGGAAAATGCAATTTTAACTAAGGAAGCTAAGGATGTTAGATGGAATGGCACCGATAATGAGGAGAGTGGAAAAAATAGTACATGGGAAAGTTGCAATGTCAAAAACATGAGATGGGAGTCAACAGAGGACTGCATAGCAAGGTTGCGAGCCGTAGCCATCCCCGTTAACAACTGGAGGAGTCCTGTGAACCCCAAGGGCACGTTAGTGTCAGATGAGGAGTATGAAGATGATGATTTTGAGGATGAGTTGAGCTCAGACGATGACAAGGTACAGGAAGTCATTCCTCAAGTCAGATTTCAGCAAGGATGCAATAGGTGAGTTCTAACAAAAGTTCATACAAAAATTAATTTTATTCAAACTGGAAAGAGGTAGATGTTTTCATGTTGTAATCCCTTTCATAACACTCCAAGCGGATCATATTCGACAGTATCTGTGCATGTATGGTATATGTATTCTGAAGTAGCTGAGATTTTCTACTGGATGCATTTAGGGCCATCATATACATCTGTAGTTGCTTTACTGGGAAGAGGCCAATTAAACAATAAAATATGTTTGGACTGTTTCAGGGAAAGAGTCAGATGAAATGCTTTGTAAAATTGACATTGTAAATTCACCATAAATGAACAAACATGGCTCAATAATTAAGCTGGCGTTTGATATTTCAGATTCTAGGATCTGATGATATAATTATAAGTATCTTAAGAATATTACAATTCGGCTTGGTTACTATAATTTTATCATCCAAAAATAGATGTTCTGTACAAGAATCATAAACTTTTTTCTCTAGGTATACAGAGTAGGCCAGTTATAAATTATTTAAAAAACCAATCTTTTCAATAAATCGCTTTATTCCAGATTTCAATCTGACTACTGGCAGTACTACCGCCAATCGCCGCAACCTCAACAGACCATCAGGCGAGAGGAGAATGGGAAGTCGTACCTAGAACTAGGTGCGGCGCCACTGATCAAGATCCAACCACACAATTCAAGGCTGAGATGCTGTGACAGTCGAGGCAGATGGTGTCACAACCCTTGCTACAGGCAGAGGAGGTTGACAGTGCTCAACATGTCCATGTGCAAGTTGGCCCGATACAGGCAATGCTCAGATCCATCGCTCAGGAGATCTGTACTGATTTGTAACACCCTTAGGAGGTAAGTTTTTCTATTGTTTTACTTCCCACGCCTACTGTCGGTCTGCTACTCTGCCACTCGGATTTCGATGAAATTATTACACAATGATTACTATTCCAAGGACGCAAAAGCCGGTAGTTTTTGAAAATCGATCCAGTGGCGGCAGATTAAAAGACTAATATGAAAAAAAAATGCCCAAACTTAGCTTTTTTGACGGTTCAGAGGATCCTGATCATTTAAAAAAAAATTAAAGTTAAAAACCTGGGGTATGTTTATCTCAATTTCTTGATGCTGTTATATTTATACGCTCCCAACATTGGTAATTTTACGTACCTATTAGATACATTTCACACGTCATAGATTTTTCTGTACATTAGCCCTGAAAACTTAGAAAAGCATTCTCGGGAGTGGACCTATCGGCCGCGGCTGCTGCTGTCGTCTTGCGCCGTCCGTGATGTGCTATGGTATGGAATCACACATATGTCTGCCGCGCAACAGCTTAGTATTTTCTATGCTCTGGTAGAGAGAGGCGACGTTTCCAGTTATACTACCGGTAGGGCAGGGAGAACTAATGTCTATGGACTAATTGTATAGACCTGTTTGACTCTTTTTTTCTCAGAGAGTCTAGTTTGTGATGAACATATTTCTCTATGACCCATACGGGCGTTGCCTGGGAAGTTCAGTCAACGTACCTGACGCCATTAAACGTAAGGTACAAAATAAAAGGGTACTACTCCATAAATTCGTGTTTGGGAGTCTAATATCCCAGAATCTGAAAATTAATGAAACGACACCCACACCACAATTTCCGCAGGAAAGTAAATGACGCAGGACATCCAACAATTAAGACTTAACATGGTAATGATTGAGTTATCTAAGCCAGGTTGTTCGGATGGTAAAGCTTAGGTGATACAAAGTGTGGACACATGGTGGACTTCTACCACCGGCAGTTTTTCCGCCACGGACAAATTCTTAGGCCCAGAGCAATCGATCGAGCGCGATCGAAAACGTTGTAAAGGCGGCAGTGGACGTAATTTGACATTTCAACATACCATCACCTAATTTGGCCTCATATGTGCGTAAATCGATGTGGTTTTCACGTGGTATTGATATTTTATGTGTTTTTATGTATCGTGCGAGTATACCCCTCCTCCCTAAGAGGAATACCAAAATTCGGGTCAAAACGAAAATAATCAAGATGTTGCAAAAATAATGATGAACACCTTCAGATTTTCGCGATTATAATACTTCCCTTGCCCAGTGCCGTGCGAAGTAAAAATACATGTTGGTCCCCTGGTTAAGCAGATATTTTATTTAATAGTTATATTTTGGCGGCCATTTTTAGATATGGAGCCCAAACGACCACGATTTGGATCACGTGGCCTCATTTATTATATACTCCTATATGTGATCAAAAATGCCCCTCATTTAAACTGGGCGCACATATAAGTTCGCACGTGACCTTAGGGTTGGTTTTAGATTTGGAAAGATTTGTAATTTTATTTCAATTTTGTGGTGGTGGGTTTTTACTCTGCCAAAAATGGACCATCATTCTATTTGACGTAATGCTATTTAAGTACAAGGCATTTTTGTAAAGTAAGGGCGGTTTGCGTATACTTGATTATTCGCATGTCTGACAAAGTTATTTACACAAACTGCCCCTTCTTTACGGATATGCTTCGTATCTGCACAAACGAATAAATAAATGAAAACCTTGGTATATCCGTTGATTAATGTCTATCTGAAGATGGCTAACCTAATGCCATATGCGCATCCGAAAAATTATCCGAGATGAACTGAAAAACCGTCGCTGTTGCCAGCTATATACAGAGTGTCCAATAAGTACCACGACAAACTTAAGGAGAAGGTAGGCTTTGGACATTTCAAATAACAAAAACTTACCTATATAAAAGTGTAACCGTTTTTGAGATATTAAATTTTTCCTTTCATAAAATCATATCATATGAGGAGCAGGTAATAATAATGTAGCTTTGTACTATTTAGCATGTTACTGATCGGAAACCAGTGCAACTTGAATTTAAATTCAATAATTACATTGTAGTGTGTGTCAGTCACTTACAAAAGCAGCTATCACTTTTTTCTATTCCAAAGTACGTGTGGTGCCTTTCTGAAATCTGTATTCAATGAGCAATCTTTTTATTCAATGTAATGCAGTTATAGCCCAGTGCATTTTTGTTTCACCACAGATGGTCAAAGTTGAGGAAAACATATCAGAAGGCTATAAATCCCAAAATAGTCCTTATTTGATCATGGTTCCTTAATATATTTTAACTACATTGCGTTTGTATATGATAAAGAAACTATCTAGAAGTATTTTATAGAAAAAATGAACAAAGTATCACCTTATTTGTACATGCAGCTAAAGACCACAGACGAAATGGTTCGTTTTTTTTAAATTTAAGAAAAAATTCAATATCTCAAAAACGGTGACACTTTTATATAGGTAAGTTTTTGTTATTCCTACCTTCTCCTTAAGTTTGTCATGGTACTTATTGGACATCCTGTAAAAGCATATAGCTACAGCGCCATCTAGGAAAACGTCTAGGAGACAATAACCTATTCAAAGTAGATCTATGATTAGTATCGTGGCGAGAAGAGACATAGCTGTGACAAATTTTCATAGAGGACGCGACGGTTTTTCAGTTCATCTCGGACGCATGAATATTGCATTAGGTTAGTAATCTATCGTCAGATAGAATACGTTAATCGATGGTAGCTATTGGGTTATTAAAATATAACTATAATAACTATAAAACATTTCTTAAATAGGAGTAAAATGTGGTTTTTATGCTGAAATCGGCCCTTTGATTGCGAATATTTGTTAAATAACCGCTTTGCGACTTGGCAGCTATTTTTAAATATGGCGTCCAATCGATTACGATTTGGATCGCGTGACCTCATTTTTTATAAACTACTATGGATAATTACTTATGTACCTCATTCAAACTGATGGCACCTGTGACCCTAGTGACTCCTAGATTATACAGAATTGATATAGGTACAAATAAAAGTGGTACCAATAATAATAACAAGAATAATCCATTTCAGGTTAGAGCGAGAAATGGAAACAGAACCAACTGAAGCACAGTATCACCACCCGTCCAGCGAACCGTTCAGGATGAACAGCAGCCGTAACAGCCAAGATCAACTGCAAGAACTTAATCAACAATCTCCAATGAGAGGCAACAACAGTGGAAGCAGTTGCAATCAACAACAGCAAACGCGAAATAGTATATCTAAAGGGACACAACAGTCGATTAGCTCGATGGGAGCGAATACTACCTATGGTGTTATATCTCAAGGTAAGATTCATTTCGCTATTTTGTAAGGATGTGTGTCACGCAACGTTTTTAGGTAGTTCGAGGTTTTTATTTTAGCAGTAACGCAAAATAATATTTAAAAACCGGCTTCAGTAGGCTGGTACAAGTATAAATCGGACGTTTTATGAAATATTCCATTTTTAAAGCGTCGTTAGTATCTTAGATATGTATATAGGTTTGTCGCTAATGAATACCTCAAGAAAAAATCCTAGAGTAACAAGTGACAGTAATGACTTTGAGCCAAACTTAAACTGCGTTTGCGGTATCGACATTAAAATTGGTAGTCAGCAGTTTCTGAGAATGCAGAACACGGTTATATTGTTTTCCAATTAGTAGCCCTGCGTGCAATACAGATTGTATCGCCCCTTCTTCAACTACGACTACCTAGACTGAGCTTGCCAGAAAGGCCCTTTAGTTTTGGTGTGAATGTGAAATAGAAAACAAATACATTACGAAGATAAAACTTTATTTTTTATTGTTATTTGGTTGTTTTTTTGGTAGTTAGACCGTTGTAAAATATTTTTAATTGACGTGTCGCTAACACGAGTGGTTGGCATCTTCAGAAGATGTTCACAGTTCAGAGTCATGTGAGCTAAGATCGCGGAGATGTCAGTAGCCCACATGACTCCGAACTCTGAACAAGATGCCAACCACTCGTGTTGGTGAAATGTCTAGTAAAAATATTTTACAACGGCCTAACTACTAAAACTCGCAGAAAGCCTTGTAAGCGGGTATGCATGAGGTTATAAATAATTACGTAATCTAGAAATAAAATAAAATGACACACGTGATTTACTTAGAAAAGTACAATAACAACATTAAATAGGATTTTAAAACACACATCTGACAAAATGGGAGTATGGAAGGCTCCATTTAATCATAGATCCTTTTTTAGGTAAAGTGTCTCATTTAGGGCATCAAGTCTATCTTAGGGAAGTTCTCTGTTTGAGGGATATATCGAGTATGTTGTCAAAATCGGTAAATAAGTATAGTAGGGGTATATTGTCTAAATCGGTAGTGTTGGGTATATGGTATTTTGTTTCATTCGGTAACTTTATTCTAGTAGTTGGTTTTCATGATAATTGTGATTTTTTTAAGTCAACGATTTCGTGACTTCTCTGTCTGGGCATAGGTGTTATCCAGCCTTTTACTTTCCTTTTAAATGTGTATTTGGAACGTATCATCTTCAGGTCTTGTGGAAGAAGATTGTAACGTCTTGGTCCTAGGTAAGGATATAAGCTGAGCATTGTATTTTTTCTGGTTTTGGAAGCTCTAAATAATTCCTGTCTCTTTTTTGGTAAGAAGGTATCGGTTCTTGGTAGGGAGAACGGGATATTTGTTGCCCTATCAAAACTTTTAGTAGATATAATTGCCTTATTTTTGTCTAACATTGGATGATGGTCGCGAAAGCTTTTCGCATTTCATTTATTTTTTATTACTTTGTTACTCATTCAGGATTGTTGAAATGTAAAAAAAAATCTGGCTTCTCTACACTTTTTCGATGACCATTTTTGAAATCAGCACCCAAGTTTTAATACAGCGTGCTGAGTTTCGTTGTAGACACAGAAAACGAAACTGAAAAGTATTGTGTGATGTTTTTTTTTAAGTTTTATCTTTTTGTGCTTGAACCACCATTAAGGCCTAAACGCCCATGGGTACCGTAGCGTCATAGGGGGGACGCCAGAGGGACTCCAGCGAGGGAACATGTTATGTTGGGAATATTCAAAAATTCCAATCTAGACGTAAAATCGCTCCTAGGGTAAAATGGATGCGTAGATCACGTATGTACTGACAGTTTTTCCAGTGAGATCAACGGAATGTTCCATTTTCCTGTTCCAAATAGAGTTTCGTTCAATTTTAGACACGGAGCAGGAAAATAAAAACAATTACTGAATTTTTAAGGACACAATGAAAATGTTCAAAAGTCTTGTGAATTAGCAATCTTGACGAATACTCGTCTTTTGAGTAAATCGTATGCTCAGATCACGTATCTGCTGTTAGAAATCCCAGTTTCCTGTTCCCAATGGGACTTCGCGACACTTTAGTTTTTTTTTCATTTAATGGCATTTGTAATCAGCGTCCCAAATTGCCCTTGCGTACCGAGTTTCGTTCACCTGTCGACACAAAGAGTGTAAACGAAAGCGTTGCGAGGTGAGTTTTTTAAGTTTTATGAATTCGCAATCTAGACGAGAACTCGTTTCTAGTGTAAATTGATAGTAGATTATGAGTCTGCTGTCAGCTTTTTGGTGATATTGTCGGAAGATAGCAACGTACCACTTTTCTGTTCCGAATAGGGCTTCGCGACGTTAGGATTTTTGATGACCATATTTGAAATCTCGTTTCTGGCTAAATTGGATGCGTAGGTCACGAATCTGCTGACATTTTTTCGCTGAAATCGATGATCCAATAAGTAGGGTGACTTATAATGATAATGACTTTGAACATCACGTGATAACTCGATTTGCCGCCACCCTGAATGTGCTGCCCGCAAGTACGTAAAATAATTAGATTAAAGGCATAAAAAAGTGATAATTTTTAAGTGAGAAATGTAGTCTACATTTATTTTAGTAAACAAACCCATTTTGGGATATTTGCTTTTCATTGCACATCCAAATAGCTGGCTCAAACTCTGTCTTTTAATAAAGGAATACGGTATAGTTAGAGAATTACATTGCTGTGGATATTTTTGCAACGCCAATATAACTAAAGTATCGTTAAATATTACTAGGTCCGGAATATTCCATTCTTAACGAACTGTTCTTGAGCCAGCATGTTTTCCTGTACAATATAAGATTGGAATGCAAATATTTTGAAAAGGTTTTTTAATCGTGATACTACTACTACTGCTGCTACTACTACTCAATCATCATTCTATCGTAATTTTCAACAAAATTAGATGGAACGGTACTAGTAAAAAAAGTTATGGTACAAATTCGGCATAGATATAGGCTGTGGCAAGCGCCTTGTACATATTATGTTGAAAAAACAATTCATCCGTGTACCTCATTCCAATTTTCAAGGTTGATGTCACAAAAACAGCTTATGTTAAAAAGAAAAACAATTTTGAAAATTAAACTTAAACTTCACCACAAGGTATCTCATTAACCAGCTATAATTTACTAAATATAACATGATGCTTTGGTCCATCCGACCAAAAGACAGACAATCATGGACAGTTGTTTCGTGCTTCTTGGCTACTCATCAGTATGGTCTAGGCTTGGTCTCTCGTCTCTAGGATAACGAACCAAAGCATCGCAACTATCCTCTATCCAGGGGGTACGGTTTATCGAAATAAGACAGCTTAAAGCGCCATCTTCACCACTTTAATCCAAAATTGCTTTTTGGGGTATTCATTACGGCCCACCCTATATATATATATATATATATATATATATATATATATATATATATATATATATATATATATATATATATATTATAATTCATGCCTTGTTTGAAATAGCCGAAGTAGTGTGCGAATCTTAACAAGATAGTGTCTGTTACCACTGTTTTCTGTACTCAAACATGTTTCTATAAACTAGTATGTTTTTATTCCAGGTTCAACCAGTGCTTTCAAAAGCACATCAGGCGGCAGTACTTTTTATGAACAAAGCTTACGTGAAATGACATCAGGTCGTGCCACACCCTTCCCATCTGGTACTCTTCCAGACACAGACTCAGGTTTAGGAGAAGATGAGGCAATGCTCAACAAACCTATCAACTGGAGCTCGGTACTATCTCTATCGAGTCAAACCGAAACGGACATAGAAGTACTCAACAACAAAGAATTCTACGAAGAATTCGGACTGACCTGTTCAGAAAGCAGCCCAAGCAGCAATCCACTTATGTCGCTTGGAAATATTTCAAACGAATTCATCAGTAGTGGATCTACTGGTCCAAGTGTCAACAATAGCACATTCATCGGCCTTTCATCTTTCCAGACTTTTCCAGCTATTAATGGTACGACCTCCCCTATAGCTATTTCCATGGATGACACTGATCTGCTAGAGGATTATGAGTGTGGAGATAGCACAAGGACGTTTTTAACGCTAGAAAATGTGAATGACGGTTCTAATTGTACTAGAAGTGCGGGCAATAACGGGTGGGATAGATACGTCCACATTTTAGTAGACCGAAATACGTAGCAGCAATACTCGAGCTCTTAATACGCCAGTATATATAGTATGATGGGTGCCAAACAAAGCGAAAAAACGTATATAAAGCATATGTCTTTCACTGATGATGGCTCGCAAAGGACAAAATAGTGTATTTTTAACTTCACTTGATAAACTCTCAAGCAAAAATTATAATTCTGAATCCTGCTGATTAAAAAATATATTGCTTTTGGAAAACGTTAGAATATACAGAATGGCCATTGTAGATATACTCATTCGCAAAAACGTCTACCGTCTTCAAAGCAAGTATGAGGTTATTCCCATTTTTATAAATGTATACATTTTCTTACTGTTTTGAAATCACCAAGCTCTTTTGCCCACATGAATTCCTCCCACAAGCCATTTTCCTTAATCCTAACATCAAATTTTTAATTTCAAAAACGAATGATGAAAGGAAGTATGGGAGAGGGTAGCACATTTGAACATTTTTTTACCATCAGCTATTAAGGTCACTAAAATAACAAAAAAATTGTGTTTTTAGTTATCGGATTCTTACTTATGTGTTCCGGTAAGAATTTTGGATCTGCCCTTCTTTCTTCGAGGGATGCCTTTTAAGTTTTGCATATGGAAATAAAACAACACGGTCGGTAGTTTTAAATAACTTTATTGTTTTTCGAAGTATTCTCCACGACGATTAATACACATCTGCATACGCTCGAACCAATTTTCGAAGCACTTATTCCACTCGTTTGCTGGCAGATCCAAAACGGCATTTTTGAATGCGTCAACTGCTTCTTCTGGTGACTGGAACCTTTGACCACGCAGTCTGTTTTTAATTTTCGGGATAGTAAAGAAATCGTTAGGACTTAGATCGGGACTATATGGAGGATGGTCCAATAATTCGACGTTTTCTTCCGTTAAATACTGCCTTGTCTTTTGGGCTGTGTGTGAGCTTGCATTGTCTTGGTGGAGGATGAACTTCTTTCGGGGTTGATTTTTCGAAGCTCGCTGATGACTTTTGGCAAACAAATGGTGGTATACTAATCCGCAGTAATAGTTCTTTGCTCATTAAGAGGAATTGTTGCAATATGACCCGCTTTTGACACAAATGTCGCGACCATCTTTTTCGAAACACTTCGAGAACGGATGACTTTTGTTGGCTTTTCTTCACCTTGGAACACCCAAACAGCCGACTATCGTTTGTTGTCTGGTTCATAACTGTAAATACACGATTCATCACCACTAACAATGCTGTACTCATTTTTTGAGTTTCCGGAATTGAAACGGTCAAGCGTTTTTTGACATCAATTAACCCTGGCTGCTTTCTGCTCTTCAGTCAACAGGTGGGGTATCCAACGAGAAACTATTTTTCTTACTCCTAATTCTTCATGTAAAATTTTTTAAATTGAGGTCTTTGAGATCTTCAAGGACGCCTCAATCTCGCGATATGTCACATGTCTATCTTCAATGATAAGTTTTCGCACTGCATCGACGTTTTCCTGGGTGATTGCCGTTTTTGGTGCACCCACCCTGGGATCGTCGCTAAGACACACCCGTCCACGTTTGAATTCTCCATACCAACAGGAAATTGTCGCCTGATGTGGCGCTTCGTTGCCGAAAACAGACAGTAACTCAGCAAGGCATTCTTGTTGCGATAATTGTCTCTGAATGTTGTAATAAATTATGGCGCGAAAATGTTCTCGGTTGAGTTCCATTTTTCTAATTACTTGGTGACACTTAAAAATTCACTATAGTGAGAAAACTGTACGTATTGTTGTGAAACTTTGAATGTAAGTTTACTAAAGAGTGAGGTTAAGATTCAGTACTGACGTTCGATCCGCGCGGCCTACTATGTTTCTATATGCAAAACTTAAAAGACATCCCTCGTACCACGAGGTTTTTCACTTCTTGGGGGAGCTTTTGGGAATGGTCTGATAGCCTCCACTGGGACTAATGCATGAAGAGCGACTTCCTGAACGTTCTGTATAGTTGATGGGGAGATGGACCAGAACCAAACGATCCTTGCGCTTGCACTTGCGGTTCCACCCTTACCATACTTTGATTATGCATAGGCATGTCTGCATCAAAGTCTTAATCTGAAAATGCATTTCCTTTCAGAGGACAAGTTTCTGTTGTTTTAAACCCAGCTAATATATTTTTTGGGGTGAACGAATTTTCAAAAGCTTTGCCGGCCAGTTCAGCAATATTATGAATTGTAATGGTCGTGCCAGGATGCGAAAGTTATCCAATAGTTTTAGATATTTTGCCTTAAATGGACCCATTACAGACTCGTCCAAAGGCTGCAAACGATGCGTGCAGTGTGGTAGAAAAGTTACCATTACTATTCCATTTTTTTTGCATAGATTATTGTTTCCAATGAGCAATGGCTTTTGTGATTGTCTAGAAGAAGTAAAACGGGGTCTTCCTTCGTGCACTTAGTGAACCTGTCAAAATGCTGTAACGTTGATATAAAAAGGGCTGCAGTCATCCAGCCGCTATTGAGACTGTTCACTAAGCCCAGACTACCTGGAGGAGCGCCAATCACAAAGGTTTCATGAAATCTTCTCGGGGGGAAAATAAAAACTGGCGCTACAGTATTTCCTGATGCGCTGACAATTCCTACAATTGTCACAAGAGTTCCACGTTCTGCAGAAACAGCTTATCCCGCCTGTTTTACTCCTTTTTCGGCAATTACGTTTGGAGCCTGAACAATAGTCAGAACACTACTTTCATCCAGATTAAAAATTCTATTTGGGGTAAAAGGGTGTTTCTGCAAAGCTCGGGTGTAATTTTCGAAAAACTCATTCACGTTATTTTTTATTAAAACTTGTTGCTCTTGAGAGGCTTGTGTTTCCTGGCTTGCGTAAAGATAGATGTGAATGTATTTTCATAAATCCTTGTACCCAGTCCAGCCCGGCCATTGAGTTAGTTTCCCAATTAGGTGGCATCCTCCGACTCAGCCTAAAAAACAGTAAATTTAAACTAAAAATCCAATGTTTCAACAAGGTTACAAAACATTACCGTACTGCATAATCGAAAACCAGGGTTTTTAAAGTTTTATAGGTTAACCCATAGTTCATTCTGAAACGTTTTAACATCTATGTTAAAAGCAGCTGCTCTTGTTCCTGATTGAATACTTGTCGGAAGGTATATTTGGATGAAAACGCTTCCCGAGGTTCTGGATTATCGTGACCCACTTTTTTTAGCCGATAGAAAAGTGTAGTGTGGGTAAGGCCATAGACATCACCAGCCCTTCTTAGGGTTAATTCACCATTTTGAACCCGAATAACAGCAGCCCTCATGTCCTCTTCATTACTCTGTTTTTTTTCGATTATTCACATAATTTCTAACCATTTTTGAAATCTAAAACCAAAAACAATTGTGACATACCTACAAACAAAAGGATTTTCTTATGAAGGCAAGAATGTGTTGAAAACGTGGCAGATACACTGTAATTTAATGACCGTCGTGGGACTAACCAGAGGAGCAGTTGATTATAGTTGTCTATTTCGAATCAGCAGCGAAAGAAATAAAAAAAAAATTGTACCTATACATTTTACAAAAAATTATTACAAGTAAGATGTTCAAAGATACCCCAAGTGGTCAAATCAAATGAAACCCTATTTTATAAAAGGGAGTTGTTTTTATCTTTCCAAAAACACATGAATTCAATTTCTATAACTTCGACTTACCTTATAATACAAAAATAATTCGGAAATTACACGTATTTTCACATATACACAAAAAAACTTTCACCCGTAAAGTTACAAAATTTATTTAAAAAAAATGTCATGTTCACCAAACATAAGCAAACAATCGAATGACTGAAAAGTAACTTTTTGTTAATGATTACTTGCTTTGCAGGAATGCCAACCTAATATTTTTTGTTTATTGGTAGGCAACCAACAATTAAGGCCAATGTTCAAACGTGCCACCGTTCAAAAGTGCCCCCTTATCCCTTACTTATATGTAATTACAGTATTTCTAAAAATGTTTAAAATATACAGTGTCTGATTCTTTCATGGTCCATCATACTATTTGGTACTGGTATAGGTTCTTCGCAACCTTGCTCCATGGGTATTTTCAAATACAACATTCTGATACTATAAAACTCAGGTTGTGATCTATTACATATGTATATATATATACATACATACAGGTATATATATATAATTCAATTAATGCCAATGCCAACTGGTTGTTGGCAAGGGCAATGACTACTGCTCGCATTATATATATGTATATATATATAATGTTCAGTCTTTTTCATGCAGAATTCATATACCTACATAGATGTATGTAGGACATGTTAATACACTGTAAATATAGAGGGTGTACCACAAATGATGGAATAGAACAAATAAATAGATTATAAATTCTCTGAAATTGTGTAATCCAATTTTTAATACAACCTTGAAATACCTGAATGATGTATGTAATGCATACATAATTCTTACACATATATGTATCTCACAATATATGAATATTATATGTATATGTCAATTATGGAATAACGACGTTTTGTGAACGAACTGGCGTTCAGTATTTAATGAAATAAGTTTTTTTTTTATTGGATATATTTAATGTAGTAAATATTTTGGAGGTCTATATGCCTGAAGGCTAATGTCACATAACGATATCCCAGCTAGCAGAGGACGTGGTTTTCACCTCGAAAACATGTCACCAATCACGTGGAAAAATCCAAATAATCACGTCAAATAACGTAGCATATACGTCAATATGTCACAGATATTTCACGTAACTAAGTGATCTGAGAACGACGTCACATAGCAACGTAAAATACAGCGATCGTTGACGTAAAAAACACCAATAGGCGACGTCACTAATTTCTAGTAGTTACCAGCTTTTGGAATAGCGAGGGAGGGGGACTGGGATGTTTGGTCTACATGCAAAATTATCTGTGGCTATTGTTCTTGTGGAGATGACAATCAAACTAAATTATATTCCATAAAATGATGTAATGATGAAATTAAACATGACAAAAAACTATAGCAGTGCTCGAGTGGGTCTCTGTAACATTTTGTTCTAAGTATAGTTTTCTTTGTATCGTAGAACTTTTTATTTGATACAGCTGCTACTTATCTGTTGGCAATTCTAATTTTTTTAAGGATCTGATATAAAAGTCTTGTGTATAAGGCAGCCACCGTACCTCCTTCCTTCTAGGCGTTAGCAATTTTGTGTGGTCAAATGCGATGTCATCAGAAGCTTCATTTCAAAAGAACAAACACCAAGGCACTACTTGATGGCTGATACCATCTGTTGATGACTTCAAGGGCGGTCACAACCATATAGAACACGCCACAACACTCGTTTCACAATTCCCAGTTCCCACTCGCCATCGTCGCCATAGAGAAAGGAGTAACAAGCCAGTCGCGAAACGCGGTCGGTGGCTGTATTGCCGGCGCACCTTCCACTTCTACAATGACCGCCACTGGCTCGGGCAAAAAGGTTTCCAGATTTCGCTTTGCTAAATATGTTCAACTGCTGAACATGAAGCGTTTAAAATATAAAAAGTCAAAACAATACAAAAGCTCGGCTAAAGTGTATAATAACTAAAATCAACTATGGTGTACTCATGGTGTATTTACACTAAAATTATTGCCTCAATAACAGGAAATATCGTAAAAAATGAATTTATCAGTGCAATAGAAAACTCGCAGACAAAATCATATTGGAAAAAATATAATATACATTAAAGTCAAAAATCTCATTAAGTCTGATACTAGGTTTAGGAACTAGTGATTTCAAGAAATAAATACATGTACACATTTTACTATATCTATTATTTATTCTGTACCGGTATATACGTAACTAAAAAATATGTAGCCAAACAACTGCTACTTATATCACAAAAATTACTTAATGAATATAAAATCGAATTATGGGAGAGGTGTTCTTATGTGGCAACCTAGCTCAAAGAAAAGCGCATGCTCGGACATGAGATCGTGCTACCCGTGCTTCAATGTCACGTGACGTTACCTGAATGAAGGCGGGCTTTCAATTCGTATTGATCGTGGAAAATAAAAAATATCTATTTTGTAATGTTAAGTACTTTTTATTATTACTTTCAAAGTTAGAAGTTATGATTTGTTTGGTAAGATGAACGATTTGTAAGTCCCTTATGCTTTGTTCAACACATTACGAGTATATATAGAATATACAGTGTATTATTGTAGTATATTTATTTTAGCAAGAAAATTTGTAAATGATTTTATAGGAACATTTTATGGCACATGTACATTGTATGTACCGACAAATAAATTATATCAATCAATGAAACACTTGTCACTGGCACATTTTTTGTGTACAATATTCATAATTTCAACGATTGGTCGAAATTTAACCTCCTATCCACGATTCTGTCATGTGTATGAATGACACCTCACAAGTCGGCACCGTTTCACGTGGAGGAAACGTCATTCGTCGACCGGTGAGGTGCTACACCTGATTTCCATGTTTAATCGACGTGTATCGACGTATTCATGCTAGCTGGGATAGTTTACAATTTGTAATACTCCCATTTTTGTGTCTTTGAAAAAGAACACATACTCGTATTCCTAGTTCAGAACGCAATAGAAATAATTTACCCCCTTGCTACATTTACCCTATTTCTCAAAAACTATCTGATTATTATGATCACTTTCGTCAATCTTATTTGCTGTCATCTTCGATGTTTCGTCAATCAGTTCGAAATAATACAGCTAATATAAGCAAAGTTTGATCCCAAAAAACGAGAAAATGACAAATTTTCGTTAAAAGGCCGATAACTTCTCTGCGGCAAAAAGAGAAGAAATATCGCGCAACGCATTTCGTACATCTCGACGAATACTATAAATTACCGAGAGAGAGCTTTTTCCGTTTAGGGCACCCGTTATAAAAAAAATTGCAGACGGCTTACTTTGGTTCTCAAATGTGCTTTTTGATATTCAACATCTACCTCCTCCAAACATAACGCAGCTTCAGGCCTAGCGATTTTCTGCATCAGAGAGCCCAGACATCAGGCATTTAGAACGCGCCTTTCTTTCAGTTCAGCTTAAAATTTCTTGACAAACTGCTGCTTTTCGAAACATGACCCTCTTTGCTTTCGATTTTTTCATACTTTCATTAGATTTTTGCAAAGTGTTATAGCGCGTTTTCATGTTTTTGAAACGCTCTTCCACACTTGTTTAATCGTATTCGTATAGTTTTTTAGTTTTTGAGAAAAATTTCAAGATATCGTTAAAACTTTACTTTTTCATCGTCATTCTTGCACCTGTAAGGTTTGTCGCAAAGCAAACGACTTTTGAAAGATATCCGATACAAGTAGCGCCATCTATTGTAGGAGACTAGCGTTGGATAGGTACATCTTTCATTGACGCCATGTTAGAATTTCATGACAATCGAACCACTTCACGCGGAGTTATCGCGCTAAAAGTGGCAGTACCTTTTTAGCATCGGTCGAAAAATGAACATCGAACAAAGAGCCAATATTAAGTTCTGTGTTAAACTTGGTAAAACATTTACCGAAACGCATCAAATGTTGAGGCAAGTGTATGGAGATGATTATTTATCTCGTAGCCGAGTCCACGAGTGGTTTACACGGTTCAACGAGCGACGTGAATCGCTGGAAGACGGCGAACATGTTGGCCAGCCAAAATTTGTGATGATGCCAGAAACCATCGAAAAAGTGCGTGAATTTATCAAAAATGATCCAAAATCCTTATTACGATATATAGAAATGCAATTAAATAGAAAAGTATTTGGGCATGAGAAAGGAGTGTTCACCGTTTGATCCGCACAAGCTCCCGGATGACCAAAAATTGCTTCGAGTTTAACGTTCGAGAGACATTAACCTCTTAATCGTGTTGCCAGAATCCGGATGTGGTTATGTATCGTGTCATAAAAATGATAATGTGAGAATATTCGCATTACCCGGTAAGTTAAAAAGATGCGCATATATTCGTCGATGCCGTAATGTGGTACCCTTACAGATAGAAAGTATGCGTATATACTCGTTTCATTCGATAGGGAGAGCGTATGAATAAGATAATAAAAATGCAAGCATGTATCCAATAAATACAATTACTTTATTGAAAATTATTGACAAAAAAGCTCATTCAACTAAACTACGAATGATATAAACCAAAACATGGCACAGCACACAGTCCAGTTTTACATGATTCGCACCAATATACTCTCTTTCCTCTTGCCTATCTCTCTACCCACTACACACCTTTTCATCTACCTTCATTACAATACTTATCTCTTCCATATTTTTCTATCAGTTTTTCAGCTAGATCTGTTACAAAGTTCAGACGTGACTTCCTACCACCAAGTTTTTTGTAAAGGATGTAACTGTTTAATACAGTTATATCTCAGGAATGAAAAAATGTTTTTTTGTAATAGTTTTTGAGGTGTGTACGTGACATTGCATAAAAATGGAGCATGTTGTTTGTCAAATCTGCTCCGCCCATTTTTTATTATAATGCTCTACCGCTACTGGTCTTTTCATTACCTTCCTTTTTTTTGTTTTCTCTACAAACTGATTGTCATGTAAAGTACTTATCATCACCATTTCTTTTTTATCTTTATACCTACTTCAGCAACATAATTTTCTTCCTAAATAAGGCATATGCTTCTCCATGCTCCCACTTTTTCTCCTTCAGCTCTTTTGGTATACCTTGCCTATTCAACCTCATTGTGCCCACACAATCTGTGCGCCTCTTTGATAACCTTTCTGCCAAGTCCACGCTAGTATAGTAGTTATCGAGAAACAGACAATAACCTTTATCTAAGATATTATTTGAGAGTTCTAATACCACTCTAGCTGATAAAGGTTCACTCGCGAATCTGTTGCCATAGTTTGTATCAGCTCCGGTATATATATATATATAGGTGAAAAATTAAAGCTTCCGCCTTTTGTTGGGTACTTCGACAAAATTTAAGTAAAGAGGACTCTTTATACTTTTTTAATTCTCTCTAGCTTTCAATGGACTTTGCCATCATCATCAGGAGAGGTATGTGAGGATGTTGCTAATTGTTGTTTACGTATAGGATGAGGGAAACGTCCAGTAACATGGTGAGAGCTGGATAGATGGTACAATGGTCAAAATTATATAAAAAAAAATTAAAAAAAAAATTATAAAAAAATAAAAAAAATAAAAAAATAATTATTTTTTTTTTATATAATTTTGACCATTGTACCATCTATCCAGCTCTCACCATGTTACTGGACGTTTCCCTCATCCTATACGTAAACAACAATTAGCAACATCCTCACATACTACTCTCCTGATGATGATGGCAAAGTCCATTGAAAGCTAGAGAGAATTAAAAAAGTATAAAGAGTCCTCTTTGCTTAAATTTTGTCGAAGTACCCAACAAAAGGCGGAAGCTTTAATTTTTCACCTAACTGGTCTAGACGACAATGACCATGTCTCAAGTTATATATATATATATATATACAGGGTGGCGCATCGAAAACGGAACAGATGCATTTACTAGCAGCTCAGTTTTTTTTTGGAAAAACGCTCAGACCCGTCGATTTTGTTTTCGAGGGGGACAGAAGTTTGGCAAAAAATCACGTTAGCACGTGCAGCCCCCTAAACGGGGGTGACTCCACCCCCAAAATCTTGAATGGAAAGGGGGGTCGAGTGATACCTTATTTTAAAGGTCTTTCAATTCCCTTTATAATGATATAAAATTAATGTACTTCAGTTCAGTAGTTTTGAAGATTTATTGATTTAAAGCTTAAATAAAACTAATACATCATCATTAGTGGAGATCAATACATTTGGCAGCAAAGTAATTTAAAAATGAAGAATGAACTGACCCGTTAGAGAAGTAAATGTTGAAAATGGTCACCATGACTCTCCATGCAATAATAAAGATTTTGCTCAAATCGTTGCCACACATTTTGCAATATTTGAGGAGCAATTTGAAGGCACTCATTCACAATTCTTTGTCGCAGGTCTTCTAATGATGTTGGCTGAGTAGCATAGATTTTGCTTTTTAAATGAGCCCACATAAAGAAATCCAAAGGTGATAAATCTGCCGATCTTGGGGGCCATACAATGGCACCTCTTCTACTAATCCATCGATCTGGAAACGTCTGATCTAAATATTGTCGAACACGTAATGCGTAATGGTGGGGCACCATCCTGTTGGAACATCAACCTTTTCGCAATATACCGCCGATCATTCCGATTTTCAATTATGGCTGTTAATGCAGGATCTATGGCATTTCACCGGTCAAATTTCCAGGTAAGAAAGAAGGACCAACTAAATGATCGCCAAAAATACCAGCCCAAACATTTAATTTTTGTGGCTGCTGTGTATGAACCTCATGATAAATTCTGGGATTAGAATCGGACCAATATCGGCAGTTATGACGATTTACTACGCCATTTAAGAAAAAGGAACATTCGTCGGAAAAGCTAGTGTTGAATAGAAAATGTTCATCGTTTATAATTTGTTCACTCATATCTTCACAAAATTGTAGTCGCCGATCAAAATCGTCTTCATTAAGTTCTTGTACCAGGTGAATTTTATACGGATGAAAACTATGGCCCTTCAGAATCCGTTGGACAGTACGTCGACTAACACCACACACAGTCTCCAATTTGCGGGTACTTAACGTAGGATCTACATAAACTTGCCCTAAAACCCCCACTTCTATTGCTTCGTTCCTTATGGGATTTTCAATGTTGCGTTTTTTATTGGCGACTGACCTAGTTTCCCGAAATTTAGCTACAAGTTCTAGAACATATTTTCGAAGCACGTTACTGTCCTCATGTCGCTCATTAAATATTTCTGCTGTTCTATTAGCGCACTGATTATTTCCGAAAAATATTTCGATAATTTCAACTCTTTCTGCTGTGGAATATACCATGGTTAATTTATGTAATAAAGCGTTACAAGTTATTTTAGCAACAAAGTTTGGTCAAATTAATCGCAAACTATGTACTAAATTCCTATTTAAAATAAGTACGATATATTTCCTTATCTTTCTTCAATAAATAACTTTTTTGCCACAAAAAAACGCTCCAATAGCTATTTTCAACAACAAAATGATAAACAAACCATGGGCGTAGTGAAGAAAAGCATTTACTTATTAAGTAAATTCTTTTAGTCAAATTTGTTCTGAAAGTAGTACAAACTCTGATGTACCTATTAATAATATAAAGTCTACTTTAAGCTTTAAATCAATAAATCTTCAAAACTACCGAACTGAAGCTCCTTGTATTTTACATCATTATAAAGGGAATTGAAAGACGTTTAAAATAAGGTATCACTCGACCCCCCTTTCCATTTAAGATTTTAGGGTTGGTGTCACCCCCGCCCATGGGGCTGCACGTGCTAACGTGATTTTTTGCCAAACTTGTGTCCCCCTCGAAAACAAAATCGACGGGTCTGAGCTGCCAGTAAATCCGTCTGTTTCGTTTTCGATGCGCCAGCCTGTATATATATATATAGAAAAGTTAAGTTATAAGTTGAGCTTTCAGCTAAAATAAATAGTTTTATCCCAAACCTTTTTCTTTTCGATGGGATGTACTGTTTCCATGTTAGGCAAACTTTCCAACCTACTAGTGACTCGTCAATAGAAATGATTTGTTTAGGAATGTAAACCTCCATAAACCTTTTTTGTACAGGTTTAATATTGAATAGCTTCCTCTGAGAAGTGTTTTCGTCAAGTTCGTTATTATTAGAAAAATGTAGAAACTTACATATAAGTGCAAACTTCTTCTGTCATCACCTTGGAAAAAAAGGTATTTCTATGCTTTTCCTTTTCGAAAAGTACATCTCGTATGATGGTTTCAGGCAAACACTTTGTAATAAAACAATCCAAGGAAAGTTTTTATTTCATTAGCATCCGTTTGAACCCAGGCGCGAACTCTTCAACGAGGCCTGATATTTTCATGGTTCTTGATAATGAACTGATTGGCGTACCTAGATTAAGACAAATGTAGAGTACTCATAATAAGTTGAGAATAACACCAATTTACCTATTTGTTTCTTCTACTACAAAGTTTGTCAAATGCTGATCCATAAATAATTCAAATATCTCCAAAATATTATCCGAGCTGCATTTGAAGTGAAGGGAAAGTTAGGGCGCGGTATACCTTCTTTGACCCAAGGTCTGCAGCCTCTTCTGGGTATTCACTTTCTGATTCATCTGCCGAAGATAAATCGACGCAGGTGGATAACTCATAGTCAGTATCAATAGAACTGATAGACAAAAAATCACTGTTAATCACTGGTAATCGAATGAAGATTCACTCGCGTCAGACATTACAAAAAGGTAGCACGCAAAACGTCTATACTCCAACCTATATCATTGAGGCGAATATACTCGTACTACCCAACCCAAGTTAGTTTATTACTTGACTAATATATTCGTCATATTCGGTGAAGAGGTTAAAGAGGCCAAAAAAGACAAACACTTTTTGTACAACATTGTGACTGGTGACAAAACGTGGTATTTGCAATACGATCCCGAAACCAAGCGTCAAAGTCCCGAATGGAAGCGCCCAAGCTAGCCAAATCTGAAAAAAAGCCGTTTGGAAAAGTCCAAAGTGAAGACAATGTTATTGCTGTGTTTTATCTTTGTGGTATCGCGAAGAAGGAAGCTGGCGCGTGTTGTTTTTTTACAAAAAATGGCACTTTAACCATCAACCACTCCCCATATTCTCCTGATACGGCACCGTGTGACTATTTTTTGTACTGAAAACTACATCTGGCCATGAAGGGACAGCGGTATGCCGATGTAGAGGCTATTCAAAAGGCGTCGCCGACCATTTTGAAGGCCATCCCAGTCAATGAGCTAAAATCATCATTCGAAAATCTTTTGGCCAGAGCAAATCGCTGTATTAACGTTGAAGGAGACTATTTTGATTTAAATAAATTCGATTTTCCGAAACAAAAAATGTTCATTTTTTTCTTTGTCCTGTTTACTTTGTGACATACCTATCTTGTATTTCGGCCTCATTATTGACGAATCGTTACGACTTATCCAAATATTGCTTATACACCGCCAAATAGGACGAGGAAGACTAAATCCAACTTTGTTCAATTTGATATGTGAATACTGCCCACACCCATCATAAACAACTGCTGAAGTGCTTCCATTGTGATAAAAGAATACGAACGAGACGGGTAAAAGATTGTGACAGTGAAAAACTAACATGGGGTCTGAGCGTTTTTCAAAAAAAAACTGAGCTGCCAGTAAATCCGTCTGTTTCGTTTTCGATGCGCCAGCCTATATATATATATAGAAAAGTTAAGTTATAAGTTGAGCTTTCAGCTAAAATAAATAGTTTTATTCCAAACCTTTTTCTTTTCGATGGGATGTACTGTTTCCACGTTAGGCAAACTTTCCAACCTACTAGTGACTCGTCAATAGAAATGATTTGTTCAGGAATGTAAACCTCCATAAACCTTTTTTGAAGGTGATCTAGTACAGGTTTAATATTGAATAGCTTCTTCTGAGAAGTGTTTTCGTCAAGTTCGTTTTTATTAGAAAAATGTAGGAACTTACATATAAGTGCAAACTTCCTCTCAGTCATCACCTTGGAAAAAAAGGTATTTCTATGCTTTCCCTTTTCGAAAAGTACATCTCGTATGATGGTTTCAGGCAAACACTTTGTAATAAAGCAATCCAAGGAAAGTTTTTATTTCATTAGTATCCGATTGAACCCAGGCGCGAACTCTTCAACGAGGCCTGATATTTTCATGGTTCTTGATAATGAACTGATTGGCGTACCTAGATTAAGACAAATGTAGAGTACTCGTAACAAGTACAAAACAAAGCTGAAAGAGTGTGAATGGTGGTTCTCCACAATGCCTTCTCACTAGAAGGAAGCAGATATTGACGAACTTCGTCAGGATATGCATTAATGCACGTGGTCCGATGGTAGGTATACAAAAAAGAACATACAGCAGAAGCTTAAAATCCCATAAAAAAGTGGACGGGTAGCATCCAAACCAAAATAACTAAACGAAAGGTACAAAATGAAAGATGCTACTACATAAACTGGTGTTTGGGGGTCTATTATCCCAGAATCTGGAAGTTAACGACACGACGCCCACACCACACCTCAGCACGTAACTTTTTAAAAGAAGGTATCTTGATAGGAAACCAGATATTCTTATATAGGTTAATAGAAATCACAGAGTGGCGCTGATTGCCACTGTGCGGAACCAACTCTCCGAGGGACCAACGATATTTTGTGAGAAAATGTCTGTGATAGTCGTTAATCATACTATAACATTAGTGTCCAAAAGATATTAACACAATACTGAGTCGCTGAGAAAGAATTATATAATACGTTTGAATTTATACAATCAATAAACTTGAAATCTGCCAAAAGAAAATCAATAAAAAGGGTTTGGCCTAGGAATCGGCACTCTACCATTAATAAAGAGAAATTCAAATTACTGGTAAGTGATCAAAATAGTAAAAAAAGGTTACGTGATTTTGGCACGTGGCATTGGCTCAAATTTTTGCATATCACAACTTCATCTCCTGGAGGTGAGTTTTGTTGCTCGCTTGTGATTTATGGTGAAAAAATGCTAAAAACGCTAAAAATCCTAAAAAAAAAAACAGTTTTAGGTTTCGCTATAGTAACTAGAGCTTTCCCATTATTTACACCCCTAGATTTGTTTTTCACTTCCGGTCACATTTTTGTAAAGTTATCCATATGCAACTACCATGCTCCACTTTTTCAACCCCCAACCACCCCGGCACCAGGGTGTATCATTGCAACACCATTAACAGTATTTTCCTTCTATCTCTAATTCTGTCTCATTCAATTTGATAACTTACTCGAGCATGTTCCTATCACGGGTTTACATACGGGGGATGCAACCCCTATGCCAAAAAACTTGACTAACGTCCTTGTTTATTAACTGATTTTCTTCTAAGTTTCACCAAGGTATACTTTGACTTATTTATTTTCTTACTACCCTCTGACTGAGGGCTGCTAGCCCCCTACCTCTTAATTATCAGTTTTGGACATATCTGCTACATTTATTGGTCGATTTCAAAAATCTTTCAACTGTATCACTTCTCTGCTTATCCCTCAACTAATTCTACTATTATTAACTGAATTATTATTTTTTACCCTTACCTTACGCAACTCTCTTCTCTTGCATATGTATGTTATAATTGCTTCGCTCCTATTAGGTTTTCACTGTCATAATCTTTTACTCGTCTCGTTCGTATTCTTTTATCACAATGGAAGCACTCCAGCAGTTGTTTATGATGGGTGTGGGTAGTATTCACATATCCGTCATCGTACGTGCTGAAAAGATGTTATGTTGCACCGACAACGCACCTATCCCACATCACAGATCCCATCATCATTGTTCAAATCTAATAATATTCTTGACAGCGCTCTCCAAACCATTTTACCCTTTTCTTGTAGCATTCCTGTCCCACATACCATTCCACGTGTGAGTTACTCCTTACAGGTGCGTTATAACCTATGTCGTATGGATATCACACTCTTTGTGGATCCTGCAGATCGCCCAACACAGTCCAACCTATTCTATGCTGAATGCAACTCCTGCAGAAAGCACACCAAACACACACTCACATATACACTTTTCATATTATTCATTTTACATTTTTACAATACCTAGGTCGTTCATATTTTCAAGGTCATCTACAACTTCAAGGTCGAGCAAACTCAAGGCACTAGTTTTGCAAGGTCATTCGCCTTTCAAGGTAACACAATTTCAGGGTCATTGATATTTCATGATCGTGTGACGTCAAGGTCGGCACCCGAAGCTGTTCCAGAGCATATAAACCCTATCTAATTGTCGGGCTCGTTTGGACAAACCCGGAAAAATGTTAATTTTTGCGTGGAAAAAAACTACGGTCTTTTGAAAATATTTACGAAATTTTAGCGGTAGATAATTGAACAAAGTTGGATTTAAATAGTCTTCCTCATCCTATTTGGCGGTGTATAAGCAATATTTGGATAAGTCGTAAATACAGCGATTTGCTCTGGCCAAAAGATTTTCGAATGATGATTTTAGCTCATTGACCGGGATGTCCTTCAAAATGGTCGGCGACGCCTTTTGATTAGCCTCTACATCGGCATACCGCTGTCCCTTCATGGCCAGATGTAGTTTTCAGAACAAAAAATAGTCACATGGTGTCGTATCAGGAGAATATGGGGAGTGGTTGATGGTTAAAGTGCCATTTTTTGTAAAAAAAATCGGACACAAACGTCGATCGATGAGATGGTGCATTGTCGTGCAACAAGCGCCAGCTTCCTTCTTCGCGATACCACAAAGATAAAACACAGCATTAACCGTTTGGCCCGGTGGAACGAATTCTTTGTAAATAATTTCCTCCGAGTCGTAGAAACAAATCAACATTGTCTTCACTTTGGACTTTTCCAAACGGCTTTTTTTCAGATTTGGCTAGCTTGGGTGCTTCCATTCGGCACTTTGACGCTTGGTTTCTGGATCGTATTGCAAATACCACGTTTCGTCACCAGTCACAATGTTGTACAAAAAGTGTTTGTCATTTTTGGCCTCTTTAACCTCTTCTCCTAATATGACGAATATATTAGTCAAGTAATAAACTAACTTGGTTGGGTAGTACGAGTATATTCGCCTCACTGATATAGGTTGGAGTATAGACGTTTTGCGCGCTACCTTTTTGTAATGTCTGACGCGAGTGAATCTTCATTCGATTACAACAGCGATTTTTTGTCTATCAGTTCTATTGATACTGACTATGAGTTATCAACCTGCGATGATTTATCTTCGGCAGATAAATCAGAAAGTGAATACCCAGAAGAGGCTGCGGACGACATAGAGGTGTATAGTTTATCTGAAGTCACTTGAAACACTGTGAAATACCGGGTGCGTTTTATATATCTATATTTAACACGCTCTGTTGCTGCAAAAATCGCCAAATTTCGCAGCAAATATCCCCCGTATAAGATCAAAGGCAGTTTCACCGGTCCACGTGGAGTAAAGCACGCCTATGCGTGGACATAGCCAATGAGAAAGCGTGTATTTCAGAGCTCCGAAAAAGTGCAGGTGGCTACTGAAAATTGAAACAGTTTAGCCAGTGCCGTGTAGCGGTGAATAAACGTGTTTTCTTTAGTCTGTCCGTGTTTTTTCATAGATTTTATTAGTTTGTGTGTTTTTGACTTTTGAATACTCAGTTTACTTGTTGATTTAATTGTTGTGTTGATTGTTCTTGTGTGTCCTAAATATGGCTCTTTGGAGACCTTGGGAAAATGCTCCAAGCCACGAGGAGATGGTTGATGAACCTGTGCAGGCAGAATTCTTTCATAAAGATTTAGAGGAACAGACCCAAAGAGTAATCCTAAATATGTATGATTGTTTGAAAAACGAAAATCCAGATTTCTCGCAAAATCAAATTTTAAACAGAATTTGTATCCTGACAAAAATCAGTCGGTCTACCATTTATCGGGTTATAAAAAGGGGAGATGTAGTCAACCATTCCTTCCACAGAAAGCGCATAGGGCAAAAATTAAAAAGAATAGATGTGGGTTTTCAGGAAGATATTCGTCGTATAATATACGGATTTTATAAAGAAAATTTGGTGCCCACGTTGGAAATGATACGGGATAAATTAAAAGATTATCCTGAAGATTTTTATAATTACAAATGCTTAGACTCACTGCACTGTATTGTAAAACTGTGTGGTTTTCAATACAAAAAATTAGATAAAAGAATGGTGATTTTGGAGTCGTCTCGAATCGTTGAATTGCGCCAAGAATTTTTGCACAAAGTTAAAATCTATAGAGAGCAGAAAAGAAATCTGATTTACCTGGATGAAACGTGGTATGATACCCATGATGTTGTGCAGTACGGCTGGGTTGACGACAGCAACAAGTGCATTTTAAATGCACCATGCAACCGTGGAAAACGAATCATTATTCTCCATGCTGGCAGTGAAAATGGATTTATACCTAATGCCTTGCTGTTATCTGCCAAAAATATCAAAGAATCATGTGCCGACTATCATGAGGACATGACCTCCGACTTATTTGAAAAGTGGATAGAGCAGCAGTTAATACCAAACATTTCCCCAAATTCAGTGATTATTATGGACAATGCGCCATACCATTCCCGACAGAAAAACAAAATTCCGAATACAGGCACAAAAAAACAAGACATTATTGATACTTTTGAAGGATAAGGGAATGGAAATACCACAAAAATCAACCAAAGCCATATTATTGGATCTTATTAAAAGACAAAAATTTGAAAAAGAGTATGTTGTTGACAATCTGCTTCAGCTAAATGGCCATGAAGTATTACGTCTACCTCCCTATTACTGCATTTTTAACCCGATTGAGTTGGTCTGGGCTGCTTTAAAAAAAAGTAAGAAAACATAATCAGACCCCTCAATTAAGTGAATCGCTATTGGCCACAATAAGAGATGCAGTATCTCATATTGCTGCCCCACAGACCTATGGAAGCAGCAGGCATATTATTGAAAAAGAAAATGAATATTGTGTTTTGCCTCCTGTAAATCCCGTTGTAATTCCTCTACAAGATGACTCTAGCGACAGCTCCGAAGGCGAGGATGATATATAAATACCTATAATGTAAGTCTTTATATACCTACCTGCTATGTAAATATTTGCCTATGTCAAACGTTGTAATTCTGTAATTTTTCCATTTCTTAACTTTCAGTCAACATAAATTAAACTCCCAATATAAGTATTTTTTATCCCAAATCAAAAAAATAAGAAGATAGTCAAATCCATT